ATCACCACCACCAACCCATATCCCCCTCCCCCAACTCCCCTCCCGCACAACCCCCTGCACCCCGCATCCTGCCCATCACCACCACCAACCCCAGTGCCCTCATCCCCCAACTCCGCTCCCAGTGTGCTCGTCCCCACAACGCCTCCCAGTTCCACCTCCTACCCCAACTTCCTGAATCCCCAGCCCCAGCCCCGCCGCCTCGCTCCCGAGCGCCTCCCTCCCCGCAATCTGTTCCCGCAGCCCCGCCTCTCACGATGCGGTTCTGGTCGGTGACGAACTCGTCGATGTTCTCCAGGTAGAGCTCGTCCTCCATGGTGCCGGGGCGCGGGCCGGGCCGCTTCCCGCGCGGATCAGCGCCCGGGAAAGCAGGGCCCCGCCGCCTCCATAGCAACCCCCGGGGCGTGCTACGGCGGCCGCGCAGGGACACAACCCGCCGCACGCTCCGTCTTCGTCTTCGTCCCCGCCCCCTGCCCGCCTGTTTTCTGCGCGGCGCTTTCTGCTTTGGTGTCTGCGCGGGCGCGGGGCCGGGAACCCCCCCCGTAGCCGAGCTCCAGTGACCCTCGTCCCGAACCCCGCATTGACCCCCCGCCCCGCACCTCCCGCCCCGAGCCCCCCAGTGACCCTCCGCCCCGCACCGAGCCTCCCAGTGACCCCGGCCCCGAACCTCCTGCTCCGAGCCCCCCAGTGAACCCCCGCCCCTAACCTCCTGCTCCGAGCCCCCAGTGACCCCCGCCCCAACCTCCCGCTCCGAGCCCCCCAGTGAACCCCCACCCGAGCCTCCCGCACCGAGCACCCCACTGACCCCTGCCCCTAACCTCTCGCTCCGAGCCCCCCACTGACCCCCCATCCCGGACCTCCTGCCCCGAGCCCCCCACTGACCCCTGCCCCTAACCTTCCGCTCCGAGCCCCCCAGTGACCTCCTGCCCTGAGCCTCCCGCCCCGAGCTCCTCAGTCACCCCTGCCCCGAACCTCCTGTCCCGAGCTCCCCACTGACCCCTGCCCCTAACCTCCCGCCCCGAGCCCCCCAGTGACCCCCTGCCCCGCACCTCCTGCCCCAAGCCCCCCAGTGACTGCCCGCCCTGCACCTCCTGCTCTGAGCCCCCCAGTGACCCCCACTCCGAACCTCCCACCCCGACCCCCCCCAGTGAGCCCCGCCCCGAACTCCCGTCTCGAGCTCCCCAGTGACCCCCGCCCCGAGCCTCCTGCCTCGAGCCCCCCAGTGAGCCCTGCCCGGAGCCTCCCGCCTCAAGTCCCCCAGTGGCTCCCGCCTCATGCCCCGCAGTCGCCCCCACCCTGAGCTTCCCTCCTCGAGCCCCCCAGTGACCTCTGCCCCAAGCCCCCCTGTAATCCCCGACCTGAGCCCCCTGGTCCGAGTCCCCCAGTGATCCCTGACCTGAACCCCCACCCAAGCCTCCCGACCCAAGCCTCCCAGTGACCCCTGCCTGGAGCCTCCTGCTCCGAGCCCCCCAGTGAGCCGGCCCTGAGCCTCCTGCCTCAGCCCCAATGACCCCTGGCCCAAGCCCCTCAGAGACCCCCTCCCCCTAGTGACCGCTGGCCTGAGCTGCCCTGATCCGCCAAGTGACACCCTGAGCTCTCCCTTCCACCCCCGCAGTGATCCCTGCCCCGAGCCTCCAGTGACCCACACTCCAAGTTCCCCCAGCGACCCAAGCCCCCACCCGCCTTCCCCCAGTGATTCCTGCCTTGAGCCCCACTGCCCGCCTCCCCCAGCGATTCAAGTTCCCCCTGCCCAGAGCCCCTGGCACACCCACCCCCAATGATCCCAGTCCCCCCACCTTCCTATCCCCAATGATCCCAGCACCCCCTTCCTGAGCCTTGCCCCCCCGCCAAGGACCCCCAGCCATGACATCTTGCAGGGCCTCAAGCCACCATAGCCATAATCTCTTTCATTATCTGATTCAGGCAATTTAGAACCCCGTAAAGTATATAAGTAATTTAATTTTTTTCTCTCTAATGTAGATTACACTGATTTAATTTGCCATTGTGTTGCCTATTCATCTAGCTTGTTTAGGTCTGTCTCAGGTTCCTTGCAGACCAATGTGGTCCTGACTGATATAAATAACTGTGTATCATCTGCAAATTTTGCTACCTCACTACTCACCTTGCCCCCTTTCCAGATCATTAATAAATCTATTAAACAACATGGGATTTAGTACAGAACCTTGAGATGCCTGCTGCTAACCTTGTGCTTTAAGGAAAATTGACCATTTAATCCAACCCTTTACTTTCTCTCTCATTGCCAATTTTGATCCAAGACACTACTTTCCTTTCATGCCATGACTACTTAGCTCCATTAGTAGCCCGCTTGTGCAGGACTTTGTCAAAGCTCCTTTGGAAATCTAAATATATCAACTGGTTCTTCATTCCTTAGGTTATTGACACATTCAAAGAATTCTAAGACATAAGAGAAAAACAATTTTGTTTTGCAGAAACCTTGCTGGTTAGGTCTGATCTTCCAGGTTTTTGGTTTTGCTGTTTATCATTTCAGCCAGCTTACCAGGTACAGGTGTAAAGTTTACTGGTTTATAATTTTCCAGACCAGTGCTAGAGCATTTTTTAAATATAGATATATTTGCTACCCTCCAATCCTCTGGAATGGTGGATGTTTTTAATGAGAGATTTTATACTTCTGTTAGCCATCAGTCACTTCATACTTAAGCTCTTTCAGAAGTTGAGGCCTATGGACTTTTGCAGCGTTTTTTTTAACTAACCTTAGAGTATTGAAATCTCTATTTCCAAAGAAACTTGTTTTCTTCCCTAAGAAGTATACAGTCTACTGTAATTAACAACTACAATTCTTCCCTTAGAAGACAACAAAACATTAAAGTTTATTAAATGACTGACATGCACACAACATAGAAACCCTAGGAAGTTTTAAAATAGCCAAAACAACACTGTATGGGTTTGTTGACATTATGCATGGTGAGTTATGGAGGTGCAAAAGTACAAAACATGCAAATTGGAAAACCACAAAAACAAATGACAAGGTGAACACAGAACACCAGTACTGTCTGAATAATTCAAATTCACAAACAAATTTAAAGAAAATAGGAAGGTGTTAGAAACATAAAGAAAGATCAGAAATGTTAGATAACAGGAAAAGGTTAGTAATAGGAGAGAAATCAGATAAGGATTAAACAAGTTTAGGCTGGTGGCTATTCTGAGCACTCAGTCTATTAATGTATACTCACATACCCATCTGCACTGTTACCTGTCCTCCATCCCACCTCTGTTTGCCTATCACCCTGTTGTGGCTTGTCATAATCCTAGAATGTAAATTCTCTGTATCCTGCCCCTGTTCTTGTTGAAATCAAGAGCAAAACTCCTGTTGACTACAATGGACTAAAATGGCCTATGAGCCCCAAATCTGAGACTGTCTTTATTTTACTCATTTTACAGAGCATGGGACAGTGGGGCCCTGATCCCAGATTGGAGACTTTAGCTGCTCCTGCAATCTCAATAAGATTAAGAAGAAAGAATAAGATTAAGAAAGTATTAAGAAAGGGGATAACGTCTATAAAGCACCTAACATGTTTGGGAGTGCCATATGAATAATTACACCACAATATTAATTCTCAAGTGTTTACAGTTGGTGTTTTCTGATTTTTGGTGTGCTTAATGTAGTGGGCTACTGTTCATAGCGCCATCTATTTAGTCTTAGAACTAAACTGCACTGGCATCTTCTAACTCTCATCAGTAGTGACAGATGGTCCATTGTAATTCATAATTTTCCTATGTAGATGTAAAGTTGCAGAGTAGAAAGCAAAGATTTGGAGGTGAATATGCATTCAGAACATTCTTGTCATCACAATAGAATTGGGGGCACTTTACTGGTACTGTAATGAACTGGCTAGCATGTATAGGTACTGGGTGAAACAAGCACTTCTTTGTTGTGTGTCATTGGGCTTAGCTGGAGGGGACAGAGGATTAGACCAGCGATTTAGGCAAGAGCAAAGACTATCCTTGAAAGTGAAAAAAAAGGGATTTGAATTTAATGGGGAAGGAGACAGGAAGCTAGTGAAGAGATTCAAGAAGAATGATGGGTGGGCGTGGCAGGAAAGGATTTGTAGCAAAACTGTGGCCATCTAGGACTTCACGGTTGTTGGGATCCTGCACCTAGGAACTACACAGCAATAGCTGAGAGAGAACTCAGATCTTCCTGTTCCAAAAGCCCACATCCTTGCTACTTGAGCTAAAGCAGAAAGACCCATCACGCAGTTACACAGGTCTGATTCTGACACGTACATCAGTTCATACAGCATAGGATACAGCATCATGTCCCCAGTACACCCATAACAATTACAGTTTTGGACTGAACAATTTTTAACACATGATTAACCCTAAATTGCATAGTAATTATAGGAGTTATGTCTCCAGCCTACACTGCATCTCAGTGGTGACCTGCTCTTACACGAACACTTCAGTGATATATGGTGCCAGTTTCCAATTAAACAACCTTTATTTGTCCTGAACAATAAAATGCAATTCAATAATCAGAGAAGAGAACAGAGATGTTATTTCAGATATTTTTAACCTGCATCCACTAGAAACACTCCAGCGACATTCTCAAGCAAGGTTTTTACTGCTCTGTAAGGAATACAATTGATTACACTGTCAAAAAATAATTCCCTCTCCCCACCCCATTATTGTAGCCAATTTAATATCCAGTTATGGTCCTAACTAGAAATAATAAACCAGCAGTTGTCAAGAATCACACACTTGACTTATTTTTGCCTTCCAGTTAGTCCAATGAAAAGGTGTCACCTACAAATTGGGTCATTCATTTATTGTGTGCCCAAGTATATACAAGCATCAAAGGGGGAGCCGTGTTAGTCTGGATCTGTAAAAGCAGCAAAGAGTCCTGTGGCACCTTATAGTCTAACAGACGTATAGGAGCATGAGCTTGCATCTGAAGAAGTCGGTATTCACCCACGAAAGCTCATGCTCCTATACGTCTGTTAGTCTATAGGGTGCCACAGGACTCTTTGCTGCAAATATATACAGTACTGTGGAGAATAATCCTGCATCAGCCAGAGAGATGGACATGATGAGCGAATAGACCACTCTTCTTTAAGAAAATGTAGTGCAGGTGAAGGGCCCACCAATTGACAATGTTGGAGCCCAATTCTTTTGCCACCGGATGCAAATAACGACTTGACTTCACTGGGAGTTACTTGTACACAGTGGTAGGAGAAATGAGTTTCTGGAACCTGAACATTTCTGTTAGTCCACAGAACTAATCTGTTCTATTCAGGTTTTTATGTAGTGCCTATCTCTGTGGTATCTGCTGCTATCTGTGTAAGTTTCCTCTTCAAATATGCTTCATCCCTGAGCTGGAGAAGACACTTGAGTCAGAAGGGAGTTCAGAAAGACCACTTCAAGGGGTGAGTTCAGTCTCCATGTCTATCCAAACCTTGTATGCTGTGCACTTGTAGCCATGTTGGTCCCAGGATATAAGGGAGACAAGGTGAGTGAGGTAACATTGTTTATTTGTTGGTGAGAGAGAGACAAGCTTTCAGAATTTGGTCCAATAAAATATACTACCTCACCCAGCTGGTATCACTAATATCCAAACCTTGGTCTTTTTGCGGAGAAGGGAATAAGTTTGTGCCAGTTTGGGTGGCATTTGTGATCTGGATACCTTTCCAATAAGATCTGTACCAGGGGTAGGCAACCTATGGCACGCGTGCCGAGCTGATTTTCAGTGACACACACTGCCTGGGTCCTGGCCACCGGTCTGGGGGGCTTTGGATTTTAATTTAATTTTAAATGAAGCTTCTTAAACATTTTTAAAACCTTATTTACTTTACATACAACAATAGTTTAGAGTCCTTATATGGTTATATTGACCAGGGGTTGGATTTGAACTGGTGAAAGATTGTATCCCATTATCATGTCATATAGTGTGCCAGTCATTGTGAGTCTATGGTATTGAAGTCACATGATAACAATTTGTATGCGGTGCATTGTCAAAGGGAGGATAACGTTTCCTTGCATTATGTCCTGAAATCAGGTATGTGCTAATTTTTTAGTTAATCCCTTGCAGACACCTTTCTCTAGCTAATCTAGCTATCTGTGTTCTTACAGGGGCACCCATCACCAGAGTGTATGAGCCCTCAGCCCACCCTGACAAGATTTGTTAGAAATCTGAAGCACAATCATAAACCTCATTTTTCAGAAATGAGCCTCTCTGTTGCAGGGTCTGTAGCGATCACTGAAATATCAGGTTTCAGAGTAGCAGCCGTGTTAGTCTGTATCCGCAAAAAGAACAGGAGTACTTGTGGCACCTTAGAGACTAACAAATTTATTAGAGCATAAGCTTTCGTGGGCTACAGCCCACTTCTTCGGATGCATAGAATGGAACATATATTGAGGAGATATATATACACATACAGAGAGCATGAACAGGTGGGAGTTGTCTTACCAACTCTGAGAGGCCAATTAAGTAAGAGAAAAAAAACCTTTGAAGTGATAATCAAGATAGCCCAGAAATCTATCTCCCCATGTAAGTATTCTCACACTTCTTATCAAATTGTCTGTACTGGGCTATCTTGATTATCACTTCAAAAGTTTTTTTTCTTACTTACTTGGCCTCTCAGAGTTGGTAAGACAACTCCCACCTTGTCATGCTCTCTGTATGTGTATATATATCTCCTCAATATATGTTCCATTCTATGCATCTGAAGAAGTGGGCTATAGCCCACGAAAGCTTATGCTCAAATAAATTTGTTAGTCTCTAAGGTGCCACAAGTACTCCTGTTCTTTTTACTGAAATATCAGTCAAGCATTGTAGTGGATTGATCCCTAAACTAAAGAAACAGGGCCTGTCACAGAACATCTGGGTTGGTTTTAGGAATATGTGAAATTTGTGGGCCATCCCAGTGTGCCAGACCCACCAGTGGGCAGGACAGTCTCACAATGAACCTGGGGACTTTGAGTCCACTTCATCTTTGAGCACATTGATCGGTACTCTATAGCCTATGTGTCCATTTGGCAGAGAAAAAGGAGGTGGGGAAGATTGTGAGTGGGGGATGAAAAGAGACAACAGAGATGGGTGTGCCCCCTGCAGGTTATAATCTGACTGAAGGTTCCCAAAATCATAAAGCCAAATCTGGTACTTATGCTGCTGCACTGGATAAATGTTATTACAGAAGGCAGAGAAACAGCCCCATCCTTCTCCCATTGAAGTCAATAGGGATTTTCCCATTGATTTCAATGGGAAGGATCAAGACCAAAATTATCCACACGCTATTCATTGTAATGAAACAGTGAAGGTTTTGTGCAGGTTCCAGGACTTGCTGATAATTATGTTCTTCCCAAGGCCAGTAAAGTTCCTGTGGGGCTTCATCTCATGTACCATAGACTCCTTGGGCTAAGGCACTCTTATCCAGAAGCACTTGACACACAGCAGCTGATTAAAAAAAACAACAATAAACATTACAATGTGCAACCAGAAGAAAAGGAAATGATTTGCTACTCATTTCCCCCTTTTTAAATCTTTTAAAAGATATAGTAAAATGAAATGCTGATCATGGAATCATAGACATGTAGAGCTGGAAGGGACATGGAGAGCTCATCTAGTCCAGCGCCCTGTGCTGAGGCAGGGTCAAGTAAACCTAGGCCATCCCTGAGGGGTGTTTATCTAACTTGTTCCCAAAAAATCTCCATTGGCAGGAATTCCACAACTTCCCTGGGATGCTTGGTCCATAGTTAGCAAGTGTTTCCTAATATCTAACCTAAATCTCCCTTGCTGCAAATTAAGCCCATTACTTCTTGTCCTACCTTCAATGGATATGGAGAACAATTGATCCAAGTCCTCTTAATAACAGCCATTAAGATATTTGAAGCGCCCCCCCCCCCCGTCCTTCTTTTCTCAGCCCTAAACGTGCCCAGTTTTTTAACCTTTCCTCATAGGTCAAGTTTTCTGAACTTTTGATTATTTTTGTTGCTCTCCTCTGGACTCTCTCCAATTTGTCCACATCTTTCCTAAAGTGTGGTGCCCAGAACTGGACTCAGTACTTGCACTAAGGCCTCACCAGTGCTGAGTAGAGCAGGACGGTAACCTCCTTTGTCTTGCATATGACACTCCTGTTAATACACTCCAGAAGGATATTAGCCTTTTTCGCAGCTGCATCACATTGTTGATTCATATTCAATTTGTGATCCACTATACCCCCCAGATCCTTTTCAGGACTACCACCTAGCCAGTTATTCTCTATTTTGTAGTTGTGTGTTTGCTTTTTCCTTCCTAAGCGAAATACTTCACACTTATCTTTACTGAGTTTCATCTGTTGATTTCAGACCAATTCTCCAGTTTGTCAAGGTCGTTTTGGATTCTAATCCTGTCCTCCAAAGCGCTTGCAATCCCTCTCTCTTTGGTGTCATCTGCACATTTTGTAAACATACTCTCCACTCCATTATACAAGTCTTTAATGAAAATATTGAATAATATTGGACCCAGGACTGAATCCTGTGGGACCCACTAGATACGGCCTCCCGGTTTGACAGCAAGCCATTGATAATTTCTTTCTGAATATGGTCTTTCAACCAGTTGTGCACCCACCATATAGTAATTCCATCCAAATGACATTTCCCTAGTGTGCGTATGAGAATATCCTGGGGGATTGTGCCAACGGCCTCACTAAAATCAAGACACATGGTGAAAGCAAGTTACTGGTAGCACAAGTGAGACCTCTGGTATAGCAGTGTAGACATGGGGAAAATGAGGCACCAGTAGTTTAAGTGAGTTACCCAAGGTGAGTAGCAAAGTCAGGGCTAGAACCAAAGTTTCTTGATGCCCTGCCCTGAACGCTAGTCTCCGGGCCACTGGCTCGCACACAAATAGTATTGTCATCAGCAGAGTTTGTTACAAAATGGCATCCTAAGTGGGACTTCAACACCTGTGGATCTCAGGCCTGGTCTACATTGGGGGGGAGGGGTGGAAATTGATCTAAGTTATGCAACTTCAGTTACGTGAATAACATAGCTGAAGTCGACATACTTAGATCTACTCACCGCGGTGTCTTCACTGCAGTGAGTCAACTGCTCACGCTCTCCCATTGACTACAACTGCGCCTCTTGCTCCGGTGGAGTACCGGAGTCGACAGGAGCGTGTTCGGGAGTCGATTTATCGCATCTAGACTAGACGCGATAAATCGACCCCCGCTGGATCGATCGCTGCCCGCCGATCTGGCGGGTAGTATAGACAAGCCCTCGGATACTCAAACATAAAAGTTAGGTGTACATTGCTATGGCACTCGGGGATGTGAAAAATGCATAATTCTGATGACCTGTGTAGACGCAGATAGGTCAGTGGAAGAATGCTTTTGTTGACCCAGCTACCATCGCTCAGGTAGGTGGTGTTCCTGCAGTGACAGAAAAGCCCATCCCAATGCTGTAGGAAGTGTCTACGCTACAGCGACATAGCTATGTCGCCGCAGTTGTGCTGTCAGAGCATAGACATAGCCTCAGGATAAGCTTTTCTAACAGAGGAATATATAATGCACTGGATTACTGTGTCTCATCATGTTTCCCGTAAGTGGCTGGCCCTAAAACTATCACAGCCCACAACATACATTAGGGTTGCCTCCCCTCCGGGTTTTGGCTTCTGTGTCCGAGTGCCACTGAGGGTTCCCAGATGCCTGGTTTTTCACCGGAAAGTCTGGTCGAAAAAGGGACCTGGCAGTGTCCGGTCAGATGTACTGACACCAAAAGTCCGGTTACTGTGGGTGGAAGGAGGCGCCCGGTCATTAACCCACGCCAGCCCCTGCTCAGCCGGGGCCACCTCCTACCTGCAGGCAGGCACCTTGTCAGGCTGCAGCAGCTCCCGTCCAAGCCCCGGAGCAGAGAGAGCCCAGCTTGGGGGAAGAGGGAGGTGGAGACGATCCAGTGAGTGACGGGGGAAGGGGAGCGGAGGAGCGAGCAATGGGGGAGGGGCCTTAGGGGAAGAGGCAGAGAAGGGGCGTGGCCTCTGGGAAGAGGTGGAGAGGGGTGGGGCCTCGAGAGAAGATGTGGGGCAGGAGCAGAGCCTTGGGGGAAGAGGTGGAGCAGGGGGCGGGACTTCAGGGGTCCAGTTACCAACAATTAGAAAGGTGGCAACCCTGACATACAGACTGGGACCTACAGTCTCCCCAGGCTGCACCTCCAGGTTAAAATTGAGGTTAGCAGCAGTCTGCTGCATTTGATCGTAATCAGATATAGCGCGTTGCCAGTGTTCCTGGCCTACCCTCAGCGTTTTAAACGCTCCATTTTTGTGGAAGGGCCGGAACAGGAAGGGTACAAAGGTGAGAGCTGTATCAATGGGGACGTACACAAACTCTCCAGCACAGTCCTTGGGGCCCAGAGAAATCTCCTGGGGAAAGCAGGCGGCCCGGCAGAAACCCCGGTAATTGGCACAGCCCCAGTTTCCAGTGCCGACACCCAGACCTGGAGAAATAAAAAACTGGCATTTAAGCGTTTCCTTGCAACTGACACAAAAATACAAACCCTCCTCTCATAAATCTACTTGCTATTTTAGGGCCTGAGGTGGCAACTCATAGTCCCACTGGGCCTGGTGTGACCCTGTTGCTATGGGTGCATTAATTTCAGTGGGGTTATTCGTGGGAGTAAATAGTGCAAGATTGGACCTGTGGGGGGAAATCTTTTATACCCTGGTATAAATCAGCATCGCTTCAATGACCTGCGTCCGCTCCCACTGAAATGGAGGGGAGTTAGGGCATTGACTTCAATGGCAGGTCTGGTCCTTAAAGAGACAATACAGGATTTATTAGAGATGGGCTGAGGAGGTTGCGTGCAAAAACTACCACTCCACCATCCTATCACCAGGCCTACATTCTACTCTTGCATAAAAATGTCACATGCACGGGGCCAGAGTCCTATAGCGCAGAATCCATCACCTTGCCGGATGAAGCAAGAGCAGAAGTTAACACTGATGGCGGGGGAGGGAGTAGCGGGAGGAGGATTTGTTACATTTCATCATCTGTCCCATGGTAAATTTAGCGCTGGATTGAGGAGTTGGCAGCTCTGGTCTCCAAAGCACTCTCTGGGGAATGCACACTTTTTGGTTATCTCCACTTGTGACACTCTATACCTCATGGGAACACCCTGCACCCCCATGTTCATCCTTGTAAAATGATTGTGTGGTATCCAATGCAAAGTTTGTTGTGTTAGGTGTCTTTGGAAGGTTCATGATGCACGGAGCATTGTTGTTATAGTGGTGTTATAGGTTGTAATTTCATGTATATAGTTATGAGGCTGAAAATGTGTCCTTATGGCTTAAAACAAGCCCAGGCAAAAACTCTCCAGGAACAGAGGCCCAGGCAAAACTCTCCAAGAGCAGAGAGGCAGTTCACACCTCATCAGGGCATGTATGGGACAAACCCAGCCCAGCCTCACAGGAACAAAGGACACTGGCCTAGGCAGCAACGAAGGATCTGTTGGACAGTTTGGGACTATGACGAAGTAATGCTCACCTGACTCTGAAGAGGAGGGGGGCAACGTCAAGACGGAAGAAAGAACAGGATAAAAGGGAGAGACGTTTGCCATGCTCCCCTCTCTTCCATTTACATCTACACACACCACCACCAAGCGACTGAAGCACTGATCAAAGCGGAGAGCCTGGCTGATAAGCAACCAGCCAGCCTGTGGTGAAAAGCACCTAAGTTTATAAGGGCACTGAAAGTCTTAAGATCAGTTTAGAATGTGTTTTGCTTTTATTTCATTTGACCAAATCTGACTTGTTATGCTTTGACTTATAATCACTTAAAATTTATCTTTGTAGTTAATAAATTTGTTTGTTTATTCTACCTGAAGCAGTGCGTTTGGTCTGAAGTGTGTCAGAGACTCCCCTGGGGATAACAAACCTGGTACGTATCAATTTCTTTGTTAAATTGACGAACTCATTTAAGCCTGCAGCATCCAGTGGGCATAACTGGACACTGCAAGACGGAGGTTCCTAGGGTTGTGTCTGGGACCAGAGATATTGGCTAGTGTCATTTGGTTGCACAATCCAAGGAGCAGCTTACATGCCAGAGGCTGTGTGTGAACAGCCCAGGAGTGGGGTTTCTCACAGCAGAGCAGGGTAAGGCTGGCTCCCAGAGTCGAGGATTGGAGTGACCTAGTAGATCACCGCTCCAGATAACACCAGGGGAACGTCACACCACCGTATAAGGCAACTTCACCAATATCAATTAAGACCATAAACATAAGAACAGTCATACAGGGTCAGACCCTTCCGACAGTGGCCAGTGCCAGGTGCTTCGGAGGGAATGAACAGAACAGGGAATAAGCAAGTGATCCATCCCATCATCCACTCCCAGCTTCTGGCAATTGAAGGCTAGGGACACCCAGAGCATGGGGTCGCGTCCCTGACCATCTTGGCTAATAGCCATTGAGGGACCTCTCCTCCAGGAACTGATCTAATTCTTTCTTGAACCACGTACTATTTAAGTATGACAACATCCCTGTGGAGTCAGTGCTTGTGTCCCCACTTTTCATATAGGGAAATTGCGGCAAAGCGAGGTTAAATGACTTGCCAAAGCTCACAGAAGAACGTCAATAGCAGAACCAGGAACAGAACCCAGGAGTCCTAGCTCCTAGGCCTCTGTGCTAACTACTAGATTACACGCCCCACATAGTGACAGTACCTTACCAGAATCATTTGAAATGAGATGCCTATCTATACCTGATGTGATTGACAATGGAAAAAATCACGTTTCCTGTACAGTTAATTACCCTGATAGGCTGCACCTGGGGGAGAGCCAGAGATTTAAAGGCTGATTGAAGACTGAGCCCAGCAGAGAAGGAATGGGTGGGGCTGGTATAAAGGCAGGAAGTCAGCAGCAGAAAAGGACTGCAGGGGGGTAGTCTCCAGTCACTCCGTGGGAGCAGGGAGGTATATTTGGGGCTATGGAGTTAAGTAGTCAGTGAGTTTGGGCTGGTAAACCCAGAGAGGGCGGGGAGCCAGAAGACGTAGGAAGGAGTCTGGGGAAAGAACAACAGGGTCTGGGAGAGAGCAGACCTGGGATTCCCGGACTAGAACGCGGAGTAGAGGGTGGGCCCGGGTTCCCCACTGGCCACTGGGGAAGTGGGCAGTGGAGCAGAAGGCTGCCTGGGACTGTTGTCTGACTCTGATAGGATTTTGCTACTCTGGAAGGGGAGGACTATAGTGACATGGCCAGGGGGCCAAGCCATGAAGAGAGAGCACCCTGAGTCGCAGAGAGAGGCAGCAGGGCGAATGAGTGAGTGACAGAAGGGGGTGTTGTTCCTGGATGGAGCTAATCCCCAGAGCAGCCAGGAGGAGGCGCCCTAGCAGTGAGTGTATCCCCTGACAGGCTCCCACAATAATCCCCAATATTGTCTCTGGATGAGAACTCCAATTGTTAAAAATCTTTCTCAGAGGTAAGCCACATCCAGTAAGAAGAAAAGCGCTGAGCTCATGTGGACACAGTAAAACCAATCGTAAGAGACCACTCAAGGGACTGACAACAGTTGGTGGTATAACAGAGTTGTTTCCTGGTAAATGCTGAGTATACATTTGGAAATAGTTTGGGGGGGAGGGGGGCATTCTCTTCAGTTGCCCAACAGGGTGGTCTTTTGTGCAGGTTTTGCTGTGTTACTCTAAGGATGGGAGAACACTTTACAAATGTTAGCTAACCACTTGACACAAAAGCCCTGAGAAACGCATGAGTATTATCCCTATTTTATGGATGAAGAAACTGAGGCACAAAGGCCTGGCTTAGGGACTTAGGCCTTCGCTACATGAACATTTAGCTTGCAGCAAGCTGGGGTATGAGTCAACGCTGCATTAGCCTGCCATGGACTAAGGGCTTGTCTACACTTAAAACGCTGCAGCGCATCAGTGAGGATGCTACCTACGCCAACGGGAGAGGTTCCCCGACGGGTGTAGGTAATCCACCTCCCCAAGAAGCAGGACCTAGGTTAACAGGAAAATTCTTCTGTCAGCCTAGTGCTGTCTACACTGGGGGTTAGGTCGGCTTTTCACACCCCTGAGCAACATAGTTATAACTGACCCAATTTCCTAGTGTAAACCAGGCTAAATTGTCCACATGCACCTTGCTGATGCAGGTTAACAGTCCTGTTTCCAAGAGGACTAGATCAAAGCACATTAACAAACTGTTAATGTGCATCAGCAGAGTCCACATGGGCCATTAGTCGGCAGCAGGCTAGTGCGGGGTAGACTCAGACACCAGCTTCCTGCCAACTAAATGTTCATGTAGAAAAGCTCTTAGACAGTGCAATGCTCAGCATCACAGCCCCTAACTTTTAGGCACCTAGAAAAATCACCGGAACACCCTGTGATCCACAAAGCCCGAGTTAGGCACCTAGGCTCCTATACAATGAACGGGGAGTGATAGGCACCTTACAGTGTAATCCACAAAAAGCCAGCATGCTCAGCGGGGCATCACCTAAGCCAGCCAATAGACATCTAAGCTGCCTGACTCCAGGGGATGGGTTCCCATTTGCAGCTCACGAGCAGGACACACACCTTGCGATACAGGAACCAGAAGCCATCTCCTGCTGCCAGGGGACTTAGGCACCTACACTGCCTCTTGCTGGGGTGAGTTAGGTATCTACCTCGCTCCACAGAAAAGCAGCCAGAGGCAGAGGTGCTGCCACTCAGCTTGTAACTTTTAGCCCCGTGATTAGCACACTCACCTGGGATGTGGGACACCGAGGTTCAGTCCCCGCTCTGCTGGAAGGGGACGAGGGAATTGAACAGGGGCTTCCCACCTCCCAGAGCAGGCTCTAATCACTGAGCTATGGCATATTCTGCTGTTGGGTGCTCTCAGTCTCGCCTGGTGAAGCTGTGTCCCTCTGGATAACTATTGAAAGAGCAATTGAAGCATGGGGACCGGTTCCTAGGTGTCCCAAGTGGGTGCCCTCACCAATGGACTACCGACTCCTTCTCACTCACTCTCGTGCCCAATGAGGATTTAAATGTTTATGCAGAGTGGAGCAGCTTCCACAAGAGAGACTGAGGAAGCCCCAGCCTTTGCTCTAATCACTAGACAATTTTCTTCCAATCGTCACCTATAAACTCATGGTAATACTGTACTTACAGATGCTCAGAGCCAGAGCCACCAGCACCAGCAGAAGCAAAACCCGAGGACTCATCATGGTGACAGCCATGTCATGGACACCTCCCTGAAGATTAGCAAAGTGGCTAGTGTCCCTGGAGCCTTGTTATATACTACAGCTGGAAAAGAGCACCTTGGGGAGGAGTCTATTTAGCTGGGTTCTGTTAATGTTCTAATTAATATTCCATCGTGAGATTTTCTAAGACATCTAGCAGTGCCTGAGCAGAATGAAGGAAGGGCATGGGAGGAGACACCCCAGTTTCAAAGCCCAGCTAATTAAATCTGCCCAGAGCTGATCTAATTATTGATACTGAAGAATCGCCTCATCGTGGACTTTATCATGAGACATCTATTAGACTAGAGTCTGCTGAAGAGATCCAATGTTCTGGGGGAAATATGTTCCACCTGACTAACAGGCAGTGATTTCAATTACCAAATGAAACTCACAGGATCGATGCACAAATAGAGACACAGGGCTGGATTCTCCTCCCACCAGTGTAAATCAGGAGAAATTCTATGGAAGTAAATGGAGTCTTTCCAGTATTGGTTTCATACTGGTTTAACGCTGGTTTGGTGTAAGTGAAATAAGAATCAGGTCCTTAGCCTCCTTCCTCTCAAATGCACAAAATGAGCTACAAACAAGCTGGAGGAGTTACCATCAGTCACTTTCACTTACACCACAGAAATTGATATGCCTCCTGGCTTGCAACAGACAGAAACAGAACAGACGTCTGTTACATTTTGAACATGGCCTTAGGGCTTGTCTTCATGGGGAAACTAAACAGAATAACTATTGTGGAATGAGCTATTTGGCAATAACTCACCACACAGACCCTCTATTCCAGTATAAAAATCACTCTATTCCAGACTAAAAATGGAAGGGACCTCAAGAGGTCATCTAGTCCACCCCTCCGCACTGAGGGAGGATTAAGTATATGTTAATTATAAAAAAGCATAATTATTATATAAGTATCATTTATATTACTTCAATAATTCTATTAAATGTCTTCATAAATTATTTGAATAATAGCATAGAGATACACTTATAAAGTCTGCGGATGATGCCACACTGGGAGGGGTTGCAAGTGCGTTAGAGGACAGGGTTAAAATTCAAAATGATCTGGACAAACTGGAGAAATAGTCTGAAGGAAACAGGATGAAATTCAATATGGACAAATGCAAAGTACTCCACTTAGGAAGGAATAATATTTGCACAAATACAAATGGGAAATGACTGCCTAGGAAGGACAACTGCAGAAGAGGATCTAGGGGTTACATTCTGGGATGTATTAGCAGGAGTGTTGTAAGCAAGACACGAGAAGTAATTCTTCCGCTCTACTCAGCACTGATAAGGCCTCAGCTGGAGTACAGTGTCCAGTTCTGGGCACCACATGTCAGGAAAGATGGGGACAAATTGGAGAAAGTCCAGAGAAGAGCAACACAAATGATTAAAGGTCTGGAAAACATGAGCTATGAGGGAAGATTGAAAAAATTGGGTTTGTTTAGTCTGGAGAAGAGACGACTGAGGGGGTGGGACATGATAACAGTTTTCAAGTACGTAAAAGGTTGTTATAAAGCGGGTGATAAATTGTTCTCATTATCCTCTGAGGACAGGACAAGAAGCAATGGGCTGAAATTGCAGCAAGGGAGAATAAGGTTGGATATTAGGAAAATATCCTAATGATCAGGGTGGTTAAGCACTGGACTAAATTGCCTAGGGAGCTTGCGGAATCTCCATCATTGGAGATTTTGAACAGCAGGTTAGACAAACACCTGTCAGGGAGGGTCCAGATAATATTTAGTCCTGCCTGAGTGCAGGGGACTGGATTAGATGACCTATCGAGGTGCCTTCCAGTCCTACATTTTTATGATTCTACTTGCAATTATAATATAATTATAACTGCATTATCATAATTAATGAATAGCTTATAAAAAGGTTAAAATGGCTTGTTTCACAATTGTTATTCTGGTTAATTTCCCTGAGGAGACAAGCTTTTAAACAAGAGCTGGAAGAGGCAAAGCACCAAATGGGAGCAGTGCCTTACTCCACAAGGAGTCCTGTTGGAATCAGTGGGACCACACACCAGGAGCAAGGCTAGTAGATGGTGGAATCAACACTAAGTCAAAGATCCTGAACTCCATTCTAAAATCTGGCTCCAACGAGAAAAATAAAGAGAAGACATTTGAACAAGTAGGAATTAATGAAAATCTCATAAAAATAACTAGTGATAAAGGGAAGGAAATCCTTGGGAAAGCGGAATCGGGACAGCTATAGCTATGCTATCCCAGGAGCATTGCAGGGAAGGAGTCATGCCTCGGAGAAGCACAATTCCCTCCCTGTTTCCTCCTTGTTCTGGGGGGATAGCAGTTTGCTGCTGGCCTATACTGTATCAGCAGCAAATTCCAACTTCCTCCCCATCAGCTCCATTGTGTGTGCAGGGGGGCAGAAGCAAGGCTCCAGCCAGTCCCTGCTCTAGCTCGGGGAGGGAGTAGTGGGCGGACGATATGTACTCTCTCCGGCACACTTAGATCCTAGGTCTGGGTAGTCCAAGCAGGGGCTCTTACTTTTGCTAACACCTTGTGTGGACAGGCATTACAAGCTGCCAGAATTTAGCTCCTACTGAGATCCAACTTGGGAAACAGCAGGCTAATAGCTCTGGGGGGAAATAACCCAATCACACATGGCCAATGGCAACAAGAAACAGTAACGCTGATGGAGACCCATTGAGTGGTGATCGAGGTCAGAGAATTAGACTTGAGTTTGTAATATGATATGACAGCAACAAAGACCAGTGCAATTTTGGGCCACACAGACATTGTGTCCCCACTGGGGAGATAACAGCCCCCCTCTGTCGAACTACAGTGCGATCCGAGCTGGAATATTGCATTGCATTCCGTTCTGGGCATCTCCCCACCAAAATATCAGGCTCTAATGTAATACCTCTCTCTGGCAGCAGGTGGCAGTATATAATACTGTGCTGCCTGCCTGCCAGTGACACTTGCGGTTGTTAAAACGCTGCCGCCCCTTTTTGTAATAGCAGGGGAGTTCATTGTTGTCCTGCTTAACTTCAAACTCGCATGCTGCAGGCTGTTAAATGATCGCATTGCTGCTCCACAGAAGTGGCTGCATTTCAGTAGTAGGTGTTAATTTCATAGAATATCAGGGTTGGAAGGGACCTCAGGAGGTCATCTAGTCCAACCCACTGCTCAAAGCAGGACCAATCCCCAGATAGATTTTTGCCCCAAATCCCTAAATGGCCCCCTCAAGGATTGAACTCACAGCCCTAGGTTTAGCAGGCCAATGCTCAAACCACTGAGCTATCCCAATTTAAAACAGAATGCCTCTCCTCTGAGATCTTCCAGGTAGAAAGGTGTTGTATAAACATAATGTTTAGCTAGTCCTGTGTAGGGCTGGGATTTCAAAGGGGCCTCAGGTGAGACGAATGTCGGAATTTTCTGTAATGTTTTTACGAGCTATCCGTATGACTCTGCACCTGTTACTGTGGCACTTGGGGGGCGGGGATTCATTTTCTCTCTAGGATATAGAAAATCAGGCTAGGAGGTATTTGAGGCACAGAGCCATTGGGGTGTGTCTACACTGAAATTAAAGACCCAGAGCTGGCCTGTGCCAGATGAGTCAGGCCCACGGGGCTCAGGCTAAGGGGCTGTTTAATCACGGTGTAGCGATTCAGGATCAGGCTGGAGCCCGGGATCTAGGACCCTGCGAGGTGGGGGCGTCCCAGAGTTCAGGCTGCAGCCCGAGCCCAAACTGTCTACACTGCAGTTAAACAGCCCCTTAGCCCAAGCCCCACAAGCCCGAGTCAGCTGGCATGGGCCAGCCGCGGGTGTCTAATTGTAGTGCAGACATACCTGGGGAGGGCTGGAATGGAAGCAGCACATTGGAATGGAAGACACTACAGCAGTGGTGCCCAAACTTTGCCTCTCGCCCCACCCCACCCCCATGATGCAATGTGTCCACACACACCCCCACCCCCACTGGAAGCGGAGTTGTGGCCTGGCCGTGGGCTGGGAGTGGAGCCATGGCCAGGAGCCAAGAACAGGAGCTGGGGGCCGAGAGTGGGGGCTGGAGACTGGGAGCAGGGGCCAGGAGTGTGGCCTGAGTGGAACTGGAGTCAGAGTGGGGCTAGGTGGCACTCCCGTCTCACCACCCGCCCCCCATGGGGGCTGGTCTGGGCCCCACTGTTCCCCTCCAGACATTCCTCTGCACCCCCTTAGGGGGGGCATGCCCCACAGTTTGTGGACCACTGCTCTACAGAGACATTGGGAATCCCAATAGATGAAGATTAACACCTAGCTGCAGAGGCCGCTGAGGATGTGGACACAGCCTGGCTGTGGCAGGAGAACAGACAAGAGGTGTCAGGTGATTCTGTTAAGAGGTGGGCTGTGTTAAGAGCTCAGAGACACAGGGCTGTCACTGGGACTGGCAGACAAAAAGGACAGAACACTTTTCACAAAACGATCACTCCATAGCTGACCTCTCAGTCCTGGTCCTCAATGAAAACCTGCACAACACCAAGACAAGCCTGGGAGCTTAAATTCATAACTCTGCTAGACACTTAAAATCATGATCTTAATAAGGACACTGGATTTATGGCTTATTAGAACAATTTGTAACCCACTAACCCCCTGTTTTTGTCCTATGCCTGCAGGGGTGTTAACGGGCCACTTCTCCTGGAATGGTCCCTTAGAATACGTGGTAGCTACTATGCTAAACAATCTCTGACACTCTGAGGACCTTTCCCAGACCTGAAGAAGAGCTCTGTGGAGCTTGAGAGCTTGTCTCTCTCACCAGTGGAAGTTGGTCTATAAAAGATATTATCTCCCCCACCTTGACGGTCTAAAAGGGGCAGAGACAGAAAGGAAGCATAGACGGTTTCTTCTGTCTCATGGCTCAAGACAGCCATGGCTCAGGCCAGTCTGAACCTGTATTAATCTTTGCTTTCTGTGCTAACCGAAGGCCTTGCAGATTCTGCAGGCCAGATGACTAATAAATTGTTACCTTGTCTTGAAAAGACTGCATAGTCTCACTGCAAACGGTTACTGAGAGCCTCCAGCAGGAGTCTGACTCAGTTGGATTCGTTGCAGGGACCCAGAGAGACAGG